GATTCATCGGTATGATTGCCAAAAAATCGTATCGTCTGTTGGCATGACCTCCCAGGTATGACGATATCATTTGGTGAATGCGTCTTCTTCTGGGGATGTAAAACCTTGTTGGCATTCTCAGGACAATTTATTTCTGTCTTTGAGCGATCCAAGGTTATGTCGGGAGTCGCACGTTTAAAACCACCCCCTTGCGGGTATGGAGTCTTAACGGGCTCCGAATGCTGATTTTGCATAAGTCCAGACTTTGGAATCCAAACTTGGCAGAGTTTCGGTGGTTCTTTGGCCACCGTTTCCTTCTTCCTTTCTCGTCTTTGTTGTAAGAGAGGATGGGCATGAGCAACGTTTGCACGATGTTTTTGTATGCGTTCTTTGAGGGTCGAACGAGTCCTTTTGACAATAGTTCATTCCTCTGTCGTGAGTTTAGCAGAGACATGAATGATTGGTCGTTGAGACAACGGAACCACTCGATGCCTCCTCGACTCTAAGTCCGCATGATAACGAACTCCGTCGGGTTGTTCCAAGGCCTTAGCTATTTGACGAGCGCGGCACTGATGTTGTCTCTGACGAGCCCTTTTCGTCAGTGCCGGTGGGCTTTGATTTGATGACTCTTTAACTAGATAAGAGTCATTATGAGCAGAGGTGTTGCAAGTAAAATCCTCAGCAACAATCAGGCGAGAGTCTTCATTTTGTGCCTTCTTTGGCATGTAAGTCTTCCTCAATTGTGAGATCCTCTTGTACTTGCGAGACAATGAAGATCTTGAAGAGTATGATGAGAGATATTCCTCAAACTTGGTTTGGTCGAATTCGTATTCGACCATGGATTTAACCGGGATCTTGATGATTGGCTGCGACACGACGGTCTCGACAGCGAGACCGTTGGCTCCCACTGTGGTCGCCAGTTTGTTTGCGTCAAAAGTTGACTTTGTCATGGAATTCATTATATCTTTGGTCGATTACAATAAATTCAAAAAAGAGATAGCATTTTTATAAGACTCCTTTTACACAACAAAAGGAAAAATTACAACTCTTGAGAAACAAACGCAGGATCGTTGTTTGGATCGCTGCTTGCGTGGGATCTTTGCCTGTGCCGGGAGCGCTTTGACTCGTGGACCACCAAATCACAGATTCTGATTGAATCGTGAGGGGTTTAATGATTCTTCCTTCATTTATCGAAGTGAGAATTTAAAACGATATCTTATCAAAGTAAGATAGTCGTTCTTCTTAAGATCAAGTCAAAGCTCGAATCTCAAGAAATGGCCGGAAGCTCAGGAACTCTGCTCTCTCTTTGCTGTCTCGGCGGGCGAGACAGTGTTTGCTGTCTCGGCCCGCGAGACAGTAAACGCTGTCTCGGAAAAGGAATATTCCTGGCAGTTTTCGCTGTAACTGCCTTCCCACATTTCAAACTCCGTTATTTTGGCAGTTATCAACGTGATTCTCGCCCACGACGTTTTCCACGTTCTTGAACAGTTAGTGGCCACGTGTTGGCGGTTATGCAAAGTAGTTTTGGGCCTCTGAGAGCTGTCTCACGTGCGAGACAGTAAATTCTGTCTCGCACGGCGAGACAGTAAAGACTGTCTCGCGTGGGCGAGATAGTGAAAACTGTCTCGCGTGGGCGAGATAGTAAAAGTTTGTCTCGCCCTGCGAAACAGTAAAGACTGTCTCGCATGCGATACAGTCTATACATGTGTTCTTTTTGACATTTTGGATGACTTCTTTTTGAGCTGTGTTTGGATTCCTTTCAGCATTTTTTGACGCCTACAGAGTATTATATCAATCAAGCAATTTGAAAGAAATTCTGTCAAAATAAAATATAAATACCTACTTCAAGATACACAGCTTTCATATGCACATCCTCATTGATGTATTTGTATTGCACTCTTTTTTTTCCTTCTTCTTCTTCTTCTTGTTAGTATCTACAAGGGGTTCTTCAAGATCACTTTCAATCAAGGGTCCATCATCATTACTATCTCTCTATGCACTTTGATATCCTCCCTCATAAAAAGTAAAATAATCAGGCCACTTTGCAAATTCAGGTACTATGCCTCTACTGCTTGAACCCCCTATATTGAAACTCTTGAACATATTTTCTGACATTTCATCTTGTGCGTCAAAGTGATTGGTTAGTGATTGGTTGCATCTGCCACATTGTGCTCCACTTTTTCACCATAGGGGCTTGACCTAATGTTAGCTTCATTAGCTGCACTAGTTGACACATTGGGGTGTGTTTGGCTTGAGGGAACATCAACATCAGTATGGGGGTCTTCAATGTCATCCATCAACCTTGCTCCAGCATTCAAGGCTATTCTACCATTCACTGCCTTTAGTTCATTCAAAATCCCCTTATTCTTATGCCTTATTGCATACAACTCCTCATCCTCACTACCTAATGCTTCTAGTGTTTGACTATCTTGAGATTCTACTGAGTCATTACTGTCATATCCATCTCTTTTCTTTACTCTTCTATCGGTGGCCTTCTCTAGTCCTACATCAATTGAACTTTCTTTGCTCTTATTAACACCATCGTCAGTCTCCATGACATGCTTTACTTTTTTTCTATTATTCTCTGCATTAAACTCATCCATCAATTTGAGATCTTCATCATCATCATCATCCAATACCTCAGTGGGATCAATTTTAAAGTTTCATCTTCCACTGAGTCATCATCATCACTAGAAGTATTTGCATTTGTTGGTATAGGAACTGGTGATGGATTTGTCATAGTAGTATTTACATTTGTTGGTATTGGTATAGGAAATGGTGATGGATTTGGCATAACATGGTTTACATTTGTTGGTATAGGAAGTGGTGATGGATTTGGCATAGTAGGGGTTACACCAGTGCCTTGGCCCTGTACTAGATCTCTTCTTCTTTTAGGGATTAATTTCTTTCTCCCTCTTGTTGGTACTACTCTTTTGTGGCTAACTACTTCTGTGTTTTAAACTTCAGGTATTGATTGAACATCTTCAGGAGGTGCTTGCAGGGAGACATCAACTTCTAGTGGTATGTCAATACTATGATTTGCATATATCTTAATCACTCTATGCCTAAGTGCAACTTCAATCAGTCTATGCCCAAGTGCAACTTCAATCAGTTCTCCAAGGTCTAAGTCTGAAATTAGAGTCTTCAAACCCCCACTTTCCAAGCTTACTCTAGGTATAGCACAATAGGAAAAACTCACATTCTTATAACCATACTATTCTACTATATCTTTCAAATGTTCTATTGAAATGTCATGTGCATCAAAAAATTCAACATGAAATGTCCCACCAACATACTCCACTCCTGGATCAAATCGAAATTTCCCCCCATGTCTAATTTTAATCATGATATTCATAGGCATCTGCATAATTTAATGAAAGATAGTTAAACTATATCAATTACAGTCAACATGCAACCGAATCCAACAAATTTCAACCAATTCACAAAAATAGAATGATTAATGACCCAAATTATGGCTATATATTGCAATATCTAAGGATAATCACTACGTAACCATCTATCTCCAAAACAAAACTCATGCAAGCAGAAATCTCAAATATCTGACAGGAAACTAACCTTCATTTGACTTCGACTTCAGCGTCGTACTCCAGATGTTCTCACCGGAAGATTCTCCCCTCTCACCCGAGAGATTCCTTACTATATTCCTCTATTAATTGCTCCCTCTCTTGTTCGAGCTTTTAAAAAATAGGGGAATTTAGGCATTTTTTGGGGACGACGAGATTTTAGGGTTAGTTATTTCTCCTACCTTAACCTAAGCTATGTTATTAATAATTGTCCAACTCAGCCCACATCAACAACTAAGTAATCATGCGTCGAGCACGTGAGGGGAGCTGACTAGAGTGAATGATCTCTGATGAAAATATGGGCCTTATTGCCTCTTTTAAGGTCTTATTGTAGTTAGAGCTATTTAAAATGCACTATTGACATTTAGGTCCATTTAAAATGCCAATCTGGTATTTTAACGGGGAAAAAGTTCATTTTCGCCTTGTATGTCCACATCATCCGTGGATCTGTATATCATAAATAAGGATACATGTACCGATATGGATATGCATCGGTAAGAAAAAATTATATATTTATCCTCTAAAATTGAATACGGATACGAATATGTATGCAGATATATATGCGGATAAACATGCAGATACAAAATGGATATTAGAAAACTATATAATATTAAAAAATATAGCGTATATGATACAAAATAGTTGATTAATATGTTAAACATGAGAAGCTAAGATTAGATTTCTTAATAATCAAAATTGACCTAATCCAAGAATTAATTTGTTACAACAGTATGACCAATATATATATTTGAGTATTTCAGATACAAATTTGGATATTTTACTACATGACCATATCCGTAACCATATCTTATTGGTTATAGATTTTATTTAACAATATCTGCATCTTAAGGGATACGAATACAAATATTTTTGTGTACCCGTAATGTCCAATACCCTATAGTTTTCCCTACTTTGCCCTCTCACTTGTTTTTGGCGGCACCTATATATGTTATGTTTCAAGATATTGCACTTTAGCATCTTCTATTATATTCAAATTTTCCTATGTGACCCTCACAAAGCTAATTTTGGCCTTATTTGAGTTAATTGTTAAGCCCGTGAATAATTTTATTGTAAGGTTATAAAATTGGGATATGTTTAAAATAAAATTAGGATATACTTGACAGTGATTAAACAGTCGTTAAGGCTCAAGACGTACTAAAATCAGCTCGTCAGCATCATCATATGGAAAATACGGCGGTAGCATTCTCTCATTCTAACAACATATACCGCATTAAAAAGTGCGACCAAAAACAAGTGAGGTATAAAGTGCGAAGCCGGGAAACTTTAAGTAGTTAATTGCTAAATAGCCGTCCATCAATAAATGAGCTGGACACCCACAATTCACAAATTCTCACAATATAAGCTCAAGTGGACTTCCTAGCCCACTCAGCTGAGCCCATTTAGACATAGCCCACCACTTCTTCAACCTTCGTATAAATTCACAGCCCGCACTCGAACAGCAGAAGCAAAGGACGCGGCGAGATGCCGCCCCGTCCCAAGACGGAGCCTTTGTCCCCCTCCTCAAGCAGCCCACCAGCTGTTCGACGAAATTCCCCACCGACCCAATTCCTCGAAACCCGCGTCAAATCAGAACCCCACCACTCCGACGACGATGAAAACCACGCCCACCGAGTTAAATCGGAGACCCAACAAGAAGAAGAAGCAGAACCCGAAACTGGTCGAAGAGGGGTGAAGAGATTGCGAACCGGCCCGAGTGGAGGAGCATCGTCTTTCAGAGGCAAGCACCGTCGCCGGCTGGGGAAGCTGCTCCGTAGGTTCATGCACGAACACCGATGGAACGAGGCGGCGGGGGTTGTAAGCGTCTTGATTAGAGGGGCTCCTCCTGGGAAATTGGCGGATGATGATGAACTTCGAAGATATTATACGGTAATGCGCTGTGTTTTCATAATTGATTGTTTGTTGGGTAAATTTCATATAATATTTTTAGAATCTAAGGTACCCGTATGTATTACTTGACAACTCAAATATTGTCTGAGACAAAAGTCTGTAATTAGTCATGGTACTTTAGTGATTAGATTTCAGAGAAGTAGCATGAACGGTTAGGATTTTTTTTTCATTACAGAAGACAAACGTAAAGTTGGATATCGGTAGAAAATCACCAAAATACACCTACTTATCACTTTCAAACTTAACCATTGTCTTATTGCTTCACTAATGGACGATCTGTGTTTCAATAGAAGTTACCTGCATTTTAGCTAATCTTGCAGAATTCTGGGTAACGCGTTTATAGGAAATTGTAACATTGTGTTATCCTTGTATAATTGTTGGTATCAATCTGTTATAATGTAAACATGTTCTGTATTTTGCTTTTTAACTTTTATAATAGTGACATGGAATAAGAGACTCTATTCCCTGAAAAAGCATTGTCTTGTTGCAAAAGTTTAAATAAGAGAACAATATCCAAAAGACATCCCACAGATGGTATTTTTTTCATAGTAGTGAAAAAATTTATAAAAAAATTATGGTAGTTTTCGCTTAAAAAAATTGTTTATGATAGTTTATTGCAAAAAACTTAAATAATACTTGACGCTTTTGTGAAATTTATCCTTTCGTTTTCTTTAGCAATGTTGGAATACAATTGACACGTTTGTGTGAAGGTCGCAATGGAGCTCCATAGGCGGTTCATTAATAAAGAGGACAGGAAATATGATCAGTGGATTAAACAGATTTATGACATGTGGATGGCCTCATTTTCGAGGTCTTATGATGATTCAAGAAAGGTATAAGTGGATTTTTGGAGCACTTTTTTTTGACTTGTCTTGTTGATCTCAGTGTTGTTGCCTTCGATTTACTTGTCCTGATTTGTTATGCAGAAAAATGCAATTCTCATGGAGTTCGCTCTGTTCCACTTCACGCAAGGAAACATCAGCGAAGCTTACAGCAATATGCAATAGTAATTTCCCTTGCTTATATGTTATTTGCTTGTTTCTGTTTTCTATTTAACATTCATTCAGTGTTACATGTCCAGTAAATACATATTAGCTTGTTTCTGTTCCAGAACTCTAAATAAAGTAATACTAGCATGCTTTCCTGCAACAACAAGTTTGGCTAGTGAAATTGTATTTATCTTTAGAAAATGTTGGCTCTGAGCTTGCTTTTTGTCTACCACAATATGTTCATGCTTTGCAGATGTCCTCAGAGTTCACAGCTAGGCATGCACTTGTTTCTACTTGGATTGGATCAGACTGAAGCCAAAACAAACCCGGCTTTACTAAAATCTTCTTGCTTGTGACCAAGCCAACTTGATTTCAGTTTCAAACCTTCAACTTGCACATGAGATACTATTCTCATCTATATCTTTTAACCACTTTATCTCAGGGTTCCATCATTGAACTGAAACCAAGAGCTCATTTTACCGGAGTTGAATGTCCTGATTCTGACCACTTTATATCAGGATTCAGATTCTTGATGGTTGATGCTGTCATGTCCCAAGATTGCAATGGAGGGGGAAAACCGGATCTCATGCCAGCAGTGAGATGTGCATGAGACAAGTCTCATGCATGTGTCAAATCTGGGCACTTCCATCGCCTAGCATCTTTAGACCACAGGTGAACTGTACTTGCTATTGATGGAAGTTCCAAACAAAAATACAAAATACGAGTTCAATTTGACCATACTTGTATGACTTAAGATAATATACATACTTCATACCACTAGCTACTCTTAGTACAAAAGTCTGGCTATTACGACAAAAAAACATTTTTAGCAACTCCATGGCAATTCTTGCTTCAATCGAAACTTATGCAGAATCTGAAAAGGGTTGATATCCACGGGGTGATCTGGAGCCCAGTGAAGATATCTCTGCACTAGTGTTTTTAGCAAAAATAATGAATATCAAAATCTTAATATTGAAGTAAGCTAGCCGACTTCTCTATTTGCAAATTATGAAGCGTATAGGATTGTGACAATGATTGATGCCACATGTCATAATAGTGTAAGACAGCAGATTAACAATGATTTGGTCATAAATCAAGGTCATGAGTAAATACGTTAAAATAAAAAACACAAATAAACGTGAGGAATTAAAATAAGAAGTTCAAGAGAAACAAAACGGATGTCAATTTACTCATTATGTTAGCTGATCACTTGAAATAAAATCTTGATAAACACATTTTATCAATGGAAATAACCTCCTCAGTTGTCACACTAAGACCACAGATTTTAGCCTAGTAGTAAGAGAAAGCGAATTCGCTTCACTTTAACAATTTTCCTCCCGGGAGTACAATACATATAGCCTTACCATAAGTTATTTGTCGGCCTCATCACTTGTGCCCAGGAAGACCCGTTTCTTCTATGCCAAACAAGCTAGTTATTGGTGCACCTAATGCTTATTGTAGACTCTCACTTCACTTCATAGCGGACTTTTAGGGTTTCTTTATTATTGAGATTTATTATCAATTACTTCTTTTAGTTGTCACAAAAACCAAGTCATGGATAAACATATTCGTTTCAACACTTCTTTCACAAATCACATTAAGAGAAAGGAACGTTCATATTTGTCTAAATGGTATGAAGACAGCTTAATTGTATTCCACTTGAGTTCAAATAGACATATGCATATAAAATCGACTAATTATATTTCACAATAAAGCATGTCCAAACCCATTTCTTACTTAATAAAATCAAGGGCACATATCATTCTCATACAAATAATTTTTCACAATTCAATAAACATAAGAAGTTTCTTTTCTTTTTTTTTAATAACTAGTGAGAAGTGTACTCACCTTTACCCGATGCGAAGTCCAGTTATGATTCCCTTAGTTTGAAGGAGGGCCTATAGTATAAAAATTTTGTAAGGTCAATATCAATTCATTAAAATCAACTCATAGGTTAATAATATCTCTTAACCCTAGGTCCACACAAGTTAAATGGTAAACAGACTCGTAGAAAAGTTTATACTAAATGTATAAGGATTTTATTTAATATTTTTAAAGCACCTTTTCATGGATTTTTTGGGTCTAGTTTAAATCATCTATCTCCTTGAATTCTCTGTTTGGACCTTTTGGTTAGTTCTAGAATTTCAGGGGTCTAGCAAAAAAAATTCCCTTTTTTTGTTAGGACCAGAAAACAAACTATGTGATTTTTAGGGGTCCCAATAAGATTTTCCTCTCTCTCTCTCTCTTCACGGCTCAAGGGCTTCCCCCTATGACCGTAGTGGTTGGCGGGAAAGCCCTTGCCGGAGATTTTTTTTGAGAGTTCTCATCTAAGAACTACATTATTATTTT